GATTAAATATATCCCTGTATCAGGGAAAAGTGCCATGGTGGTACCAACACTCTGTTGTACAGTCCTCCCATTTAGAATTGGCATACTATTAAAAGATTGCTAGCCTTGCAAGCACTCATAGTCTGCTCAGCCCTCACATCTATTTGTGCTTTAGGCAATGAAATACCGTACAAGTAGTCGTTTGCAGTCGCTGGGCAAAGCAGTACATTGCAATAAGATACCACTCACTCATGGAACCTTGTCATGTCAATAAGGCCAACTCAACGGCTACCGTGCGTGGTGGCATCTACCTAGAAGGGCTGGTTGCGACACTCTCTCAGGATGACAGGCACGCTGGATGTGGGCACCTGGAAGGCAGGCAGGCACATGGGGCGGTGGCATGCGTGGGGGAGACAAGGCTGGTGATTAGGAGATGGATGCGAGGGTGGGTGCATTGGATGGTATGTGGCATGTGCATGTGGCATGTGGCATGGGGCATGGCATGGGGCATGGGGCATGGGGCATGGGGCATGGTGAAGGTGCATCTCACCACGCCAATCTCGGTGACAATGCCCGTGATGTAGTCCGCTGGTGTGAGGTCAAACCTGCTCATGCCCCCACCCACACACCCACACACCCACACACCCACACACCCGCACACCCATGCACCCATGCACCCGATGCACACACACTTGCAGGCAGGCACACATGCAGGCAGGCACACATGCAAGATCACAAAATGATGCACAGACACAACTTACAAATTTTAGACAAGGATAACAGATATAAACACTGAGAATGCACCAGGAGAAGCAGGCAGGCAGGATGCAATGGAGGGGGCAAGGCAAAGAAAACTGACATTGGTGTCTTTTCGTTTTTACGAGCATGTGAGTAAGGAACGATGGAATTGATGCTGAGGACGGGAGAAAGAGAGGGAGAGAGTGGTGAGAGGATGCGGGCGATGGAAAGTGCAAGGGAGGGGCCGTACTGGATATTGAGAGGGCGCAGGTTGGCCGTGCTCTGCCAGTGCTGCAGCGGTGCCGCCTCCGCTGCTTCCGATGCTTCTGGTGCGTCCGATGGCAGCGGTGAGACTGGTGAGAGCGGTGACACGCCCGTGCTGATGAGTACTTGTGGATCGCCTGTGGGGGAGCAGAGGAAGGCCAACTAGTGATTAGGGACGGCGGTGAGTGAGAGATGGGGTGAGGAGTAGATGATGCAATGTGCAGCAGAGGATTTTGAGTCAACACAAGTCAACGTGAGTCAACAAAAGTCAACGTGAGTCAACAGGGTCAACGCACCGATCTCGTTGTGGGTGATGGAGTCGAGCTGCACGCGCTCGTGGAACTTGCTTGACTCGCAGCACACCAGCACCGGCACGCGCTGTGCATGCGCCATCATCGCCACCGCTGCCGTCCCCACCCTCGCATACGCTGCTCCGTTCGCCAGTACTGCTGCCGCCCCCAGGAACACACGTGTCACGTCCTGATTGGATGGTGGGCAGAGGTTGGGATAGGCGAGAAGAGGGGGTGAGGGGAAAGAGGGATGGGCAATCGGAGTGGAAAATGAACACCACTTCGTCACACGTGCTGAGCAAAGAAAGCCTTATAATGATGTACCACTCAACACTTATAACAACACCCACTCCGATTTAAGTGTACTCTGGCATAACTCTGTCATCTTGCCGCTGCCTCACCTTCATGATGTACGATGCGGCGTTGAGCCTTAGATAGAGACAAGAGATGCCGCCTGCGAGCAGGCGGCGCACCATCTCCTTGCCCTCCAGGTGCGGCCGTGAGTCCACCACGATCGCTCTGAACCTGTGCCCCGCTCGCGCTGCCGACAGCAGCACCTGCACAGGTAGGGGAGAGAAGTAGAGTTCTGAGCCGACTCAAAAGTCACGTGAGTCCACCACTATGGTTCTCAACTTGTGCCCTGCACGTGCGGCTGACAGCAGCATCTGGGGGTGCGGGGAGAGAAAGGAGGAGAGGAGAGGAAGACATTGGGACATAAAGGAGAGAGCAAGACGAGAGGGAAGAAGGAAGCCAGCCAATGAAAAACCAACACAGTTCCTCACCACTCCTCACCACCCTTCACCGCTCCTCACCTCCAGCACGAGTTCGGACCACCCAAAGGTGAGAATGACATCACCCTCCTTGCGGATCTTCCCAGCAGCGTGCCGCACCACCTCCTGCCCGGCGAACACCAGCTTCTCCGCCACAAACCGATCAATCTCCGCCACCACCGCCGCCCGCGCCGCGCCCTCCTGCACGCCTGGATCCGCGCCCATGCGCGTGAGGCACTGCTTCAGCGCGCGCACTGCGTTGCCCATGCCCACTGAGAGAGGGCGGCACGCGATGAGGAAGGCGACGTGTGCGTTGAGGCGCGCTGTGAGGTCGCGGATGGGGGGCCGGTTGTCGGGCACGCGGTGGTCGAGGAAGAGGCGGCGCAGCGCGTGCAGCATGGCCAGGCAGCGCTCGTTGCCGCCCTGCAGGCGCTGCTCCTGCTGTAGGAACCGCATCCCCACCTGGCGGTTGGGCAAAGGAGCAGCGCATGGAGGAGGATGTTTGGTCAGGGTGGGAGCAGAGAGGTGCAAGAAGCATCCCACCCCACCGCACCCACCGTTCCCCCTTCCCAGCCACATCCAACCCCCTCGAGCGCACCTCATAGACGGCGGGGTGCACGGAGAGGGGGGAGTCCTCCTCGTCCAGCAGCCGCGCCTCCACCAGAGCAATCTGCGCCGCCCGGTCAAACTGCGGCAGGTGCCGGAACAGATCCACTCGCAGCGACGAATCCACCGCTGCCACGTCAGCCATCAGCTGCTGCCACCCCCCGCGGAGTGAGCTGGACTTGTGCTGCCCGTCCTCTCCTCCCCGCCCTCCCCCTCCCTTCCCCCCGGCCCCTCCCCCTTTCTGTGCGCCAGCCACGCTCCCACTGCTGCTCCGCCCACCCCCCTCCACGTCCCCTACCCCCGTCCCTGCAGCAGACACTGCAGCGGATTCCCCGCTTGCCCTCCTCCCTCCGCCCTGCTGCCCGCCCTCCTTCCCCTTCCCACCCTTGCCCCCTCCTCCGCCTGCCCCTCCTGCGCCCTTTCCACCTGCACGGTCGTACAGGCAGAGGGAAGCGAGGGACTGGTGACAGGTCATGGCATGGGCTGGAGGGCATGGCAGGATGGGAATTAGCATGGAATGGCATGGCATGAGGTGCATGTGGGCACGTGGTCCCGCCGTGCATCAGCAGCAGCAGCAGCAGCAGCAGCAGCAGCGGCGGCCTTGGCAGCGCGCACTATCGCTGCACGCTGCACCCAACAAGCCACTCACCTTTACCGCCACCGCCAGCAGCACCACCAGCAGCGGCGGCCTTGGCAGCGCGCTGAGCCTCCTGCAGGGCGCGCCTCTCCGCCTTTGACGTCACCTTCTTGCCGCCCGCCCTCCCGTCCATCACCGCTGCCCGGGGGGAGGGGGAGATGGGGGAAGAGGGGGAGGGACCAGGGGGAGAATGGGGAGGGGGAGAAGAGGTTGTGGTGTAGGCCGGGGGAAGAAGAACCGGAGATTCAATGCGCTTGCAGCCCCATCTCCTCTCGTCCCATACCCCCTTCCCCAACCCCATGCCATGATGCCATGCTGTTACGACGCCACCATGCCACCTCACCCTCCCCACAGCCATGCCAATGCTAGCATGCTACCCCATCCGCGCCCCCCTCAATGTCCGCCGCCCTTGCCAGCCTGGTGGCAGCACGCACTGGGCAGGGACGCGGGCACCACAGCGGAGGCGGCTTTGGCGGCGCCCCGCACGCCAAGGCTCCCCGCGCTGCGCGGACTCCCCCCCGCGCTGCTGCTGCTGTCCGCCGGCGACCTCCCCGCGGCCACTGCCCCTCCCGCCGCCCCCACTGATCCGCCCGCCCCTCCCCCCGCGGCGGCCGCCCCCCGCCCTGGCGCGCCCGCCTGCTTTTCCCGGCTGGGTTTTGCGCCATCCGCCGCTTCCTGCTGCGCCGCCGCCGCACCCGCGCGGGCGACAGTGGCGGCGGAAACAGAGAGGATTGGCCCGCTGACGTCAGACACGGAACCGAAAACCGCGCCGGACGGGGCCGCTGACGTGGCGGACGACGATAGGTAGGAATCGTCGGGCGGGAGACTTTCGGAGCACTCGCTGCCCTCCGCGATGGGCGAGGGGCGCTGATACGACGGCAGTGGCACGTTGATCGGCAGCGACGGAATCGGAGGGACTGACGGCACGAAAGGCGGCGACGGCGACGCGGACGCGAGGAATGGCAGCGGCGGCAGCCCGTCTCCGTCGGCGGGGGTTGCGGAGGGCGCGGCAGATTGGCCGACGGGGGGTGCGGCGGAGGGCGCGAAGAATCCGACTTGGCGCACGATGGGGTCGTTGTGCGCCGCGCGCCCCGAATGATCCATCGCTCGCTGCGCCTCCGACTCGCGGATTCTTTGGCTGCCTATGCGCCTCGCTGCTTCTGCGGCTCACTCGCCCGCTAACTGCCTCGCCGCCTCTCGCTCGCTGCGTCGCGCGTCACTAACCGTCGCGCTGCCTGCCGAAGCGGCTCGCTGGTGCTTCTGCAAAATGGCGACCGAGGGCGAGCGACTGAGGACGTGACGAGGGAACGAGCACGTTGTGAATGGGCAAATCAATGCCGTGGCTGGAGAGTGGAGGCTGGGGCCTACGGATTTTGGTGAAGCACCCAAGCGAAGCTAGAATCGTTTTACCTCGATAATGGATTCACCGAGATGATAAATCAGATTACCACAATGAACGTCCCGCTTATAAGCGAGCTTAAAATGGCAGCATTTTACACATGATTCATGTAGCAATTGGACTGGAACATTCCCTTTCCCGAAATATGGTAACAGTACTATTTTGACATTCTTGCATATTGCTCGTTACCACGTATGGATGGATGCTTCCCAATCGGGAACTAATCTATCGACTCACAAAACACAGCTATGGGGAATACCATGTGCCAACCTTACGCAATTCATTGAATGCCGAACTGAATCAGGATGCTTTAGCAGCTATTTCTGTATCTTGTGGATGGTGCGTTGCCATGTGCCGGTGCTGGGCACGAAGCGCAGCTCCCAGGTGGGCCAGTAGTGCAGGTCCTGCTTCAGTGTCAGGACCCGTGGCTTGCCGTTCAGATGCACCACCTTCACCCTCACAAACGCCCCGTGCTCCAACTCCTGAGAGGCAGAGAGAGGGAAGGGGAGGGAAATTGGGAGGGGGGTTGAAGGAGGAGAGGAGGCAGCAGAGAAAGTATAGTGATGGTGATGGAAATGGGAATCTTAGTGGACCTAGTGGTGGAAGAGAGGGGAGAGAGGAAGGGAGGAAGAGGAGGCGGGGGTGCTATTACCAGCACCTATCATGATCGCCCCTAACTGCCGATCGGGTCTCACCTGGCTGATGGCAACCAGAGCATCGAGGTCCGGCACAGGTCGGCCGTTGATCTCCACGATCCAATGGAGGGCGTACAGCCCGTAGCGGTGCGCTGGGCTGCCATGGCACCACCTGTGAGTGTGGGTGGTGGGAGCCAGGGGGTGGGAAGGAGAGGAGGGAAATGGAGGTGAGGAAGGGATGGAGGAACACCCGACACAGTAGCAACCTCCTCTACTAATTCTCCCTCCAGTGCTCCACTTGTTGCCCAGCAACCACCTCACAGCACGCCCCCAACCCGCACGCCTGGCAACATATGCACCATGGTCCTGCGAGGGCAGGAAGCCGGTGGCGCTGCCAAGGGGTTGGGGGTCCTGCACGACTCACGAGAACGTATGAAAAGGCACCACACATCACGCCCTCAAGCCACCCACCTGGCAACATAAGCGCCGTGACCCTGCGAGGGCAGGAAGCCGGTGGCTCTGACGGCAGGGTGGGGGTCCTGCACGAGGCAGCCCGCCCAGTTCACCACTCGCGTCGTGCCGAAGCCATGCCGCACGTCCGTGCCCGCCTGCACCCGCTGCTCCCTGCCCTGCCGCAGTATCGTCAGACTCAATGACGCTCGGCCCGCTTCCCCTGCTGCTGCCTCCCCGGCTGTTGTTGCTGCCACCCCTGCATCCTCCTTCCCGCCCGTCTTCCCTGGTGCCTCTACTGCAGCCTCAGCTGTACCATTCACTGCAGTTTTGTCTGCTCCTGCTGCTGTCGCACCGATCGGCTCCCTGTCCCCTGTCTCACTCACATGCCCATTCCCAGCTGCTTCTTCTCCTGCTGCTGCTGCTACTACTGCCCCAGCACCATCTCTCACCCCGCTTCCCCCATCCCCCTCCAACATCCCTGCTGACTCACTCCCCCCCGCATCCAGCTCACAGCAGGCAGCTTCCACATCAGCGAAGCACGTGACGGGGCGGCCATTGACAGCAAGCAGCATGTCGCCCTGCTGCAGCACGCCTGCCACAGCAGACCCCGCCAGGGTGCCCTTCACGCGCAGCACCTGCCGCCGCACGGGGTCAGCACGGGCCAGCACATGCACCCACTGCTCTGAGAGGCCGAAGCTCCTGGCTTTGGAGAGCAGCATGGGGGCGAGCTCTGCCTCTAGCACGCGCATGCGCGGCATGGCCCACAGCCGCCCGTTCATCAACAGGCTGTTTTCTGTCCCTGCTGCCGCCTGCTGCTGCTGCTGCTCGCCGCCCTTGCCACCCTCCTCATGCGCCTCTGCTCTTCTTGTCCCCTCGCCTGCTTCCCCTGCCTGGCCGTTGCTTTCAACGTGGGGCGCGGTGGGGAGAGCAGGAGCGGGAGCGGGAGCGGTGGGTGGCAGCGTGCGGAGGGGCTTGGAGGGGGAGGCGTGGATGATTTGGTGGAGGGCGGAGGAGATGAAGGAGATGGGCAGCCCGCGCACAAACTGCAGATCGTCCGTTCCACCGTCGCCGTATTTCAGCTGGGGAAGGGGGGATGATTTGGGAGGAGAGGAGGTGGTTCAGAGCAGGGCTTGGTCTTTTGAGAGTTTATAACGGAAGTCAGCTTACGTTTAAACAGAGGACAGTGGATGGGAGAGAGGTTTGGAAGGAGGAGGAGAGAATAGAAGACCTCGAGTTCAAATACTGATAACGGGAGGGAGAAACAAGAACGTGAGGAAGCTCAGCGCAAAGAGGGAGAGCAAGCGGGAGAGAGATTGCGATGCATTAACAGAGAGAAGAGTAAGTCAAGGAAAAAGGAGAGGAGAGAGTAGAGAAGGGAGGAGGTGGGGCAGGGCAGCGGCGTACGAAGGTGGAGAAGGAGCCCCAGAGGGCTCTCACGGCGCCCGAGTCGTCTGCCAGCACGCCCGAGAAGGACTGCCCGAAGTCTGTGAGACACACAGTGCAGTGCACGGGGTGGGAGGGGTGGATGGGGTGGATGGGTGGATGGGGTGGATGGGGTGAATGGGTGGATGGGGTGGATGGGGTGAATGGGGTGGATGGGGTGGATGGGGCGCACGGTGTGAACAGGGTGGATGGGGTGAGGTGCGCAGGGCACCTGCAGGGTGGAGTGGAGAGTGCTTGATCGTGGAGAGTGCACAAGCAGTGCACCATGGCCCTGCGTGTGGCAGCACAAGTGCATGTGAAAGAGCCTGTGAAGAGGTCAATGGCTGCACTGCACTCACCTGTGTCAATCTCCACCCCACTGCAAGCACTGGTGTATACTGCCACCCCATTGCACCGCACTGCACTCACCAGTGTCAATCTCAACAACGTCCATGTTAATCGCACGGTAGCGAGGGCAGTCTGCAGCGCCCACAGTGAGCGTGGCGGTGGGATTGGTGACCACGGACTGCCGGGACGTCACTGCCTGGCTGCGGCTGAGCCCCACCAGGTGCACTCGGTCGCCCCGCCGCAGCGCAGGGGAGGGCTTGAGCGTGGCGGGTTTAACTGCCGCCGCTGCTGCTGCTCCGAGGGCTGATGGGTCGTATGCCACAAAAGCAAAGTTGTGCACCGGGTGCAGGAACACCACCTGGGAGGGGAGGGGAGGGGGGATAGAAGTGAGTTTAAGCGGTGCCGGTTTGCGTGTGGTAAGTCGAAGAGAGAGAGGAGTGGCGAAAGTTGGGAAGCTGTCCCACACAGAAATGGGGAGGGTTGAGACACAGACTATTATACACGAATAGAGTGGGCGCCAGGGAGTGAGAGAAGGTGGGCACTGACCTCTCCGGGGACCTCCACAGGGTAGGCGGAGAAGGAGAGCATGATGTCAGAGACAGAGACAGCCACCGTGTTGCGGTCCACCACGATGAGCCCCAGCTGCGCCGTGTGGTGCACCACGAGCGCCGTGCCGAAGAAGTGCTGCGCGTGCACCCCGTCCACCATCACTGATGATGGCACGTGCACCTGCAAGAGGGGGGGAGGGACAAGGATAAGTGAGGAAGAAATTAGGTTGGGGGGGATGGCGAGAGGAAGGGATGGGGAGGGAAGAGATGATTGGGAAGGACGGGATGGGCGCTGCACAGCTACACAGCAGAGGCAGGAACGGATAAGAGGGGGAACAAGATGTGGCAAGGCGAGGGTGCTGCACCCACCCACCTCCATCATCACAAATGCGGGCTCCAATGCACTCTCCACCAATGAGCTCGTGCCAGCTGGCTTGGCTGATGCCTCTGATCCATCGGCAGCAGCAGCAGCAGCAGGCTCGCTCCCATCCCCCACCACTGTCTCATCTGCCTTACGCTTCTTGCTCCCTTCCCCTTCGCCCTCCTCCTCCCCTCTCGCCCGCTTCTCCCCCCTCTGCTGCTCTTCTACCTTCGCACCTCCCTTTTCCAAGCCTCCCTCCTCCTTCTTGCCTTCACCATCGGCAGCAGCACCATCCGCAGCCGCAGCACCGTCAGCAGCACCATCGGTAGCATTAGCAGCACCAGCAGCGGCAGCGGCAGCAGCAGGCGGAGGGGGAAGCGCGGACGCAATGCGCCAGAGCCCCGTGGAGTCATCCCTACAGTACATCTGGGGGGGCGCGTACCACGCATGCCGGTCCACCAGCAGCAGCACCGACTTGGGCCGGTGCCTCTCCCCATGCGTCACATACTCTATCGGCATCCTTGCCCCCGCCTCCAGCCGCGCAAACACTCTTAAAAACGTCTCCAAGTCCGGCACGTCTTGATCCGCGAGCTTCTGAATGATGGCGAAGCGGGGCACGCCGGCGCGTGAGAGCATGTAGCCGGGCTCAGCGACGTAGACGAGGCCGCAGGGGAAGCGGAAGTTGCGCGCCTGCTGGTAGGAGAGCGCGTGGAGGACCCCCCCTGAGAGCTCGAGGAAGCGGTCAGGCGTGACGGCGTGCAGGTCGTGCACTGTGAGCGCCAGGGAGAGGGGTGCGCCGCCACGCTCCACGTCGAGCGTCACAGTGCCACCCACTGTGTCGTCTAGAATGGCTTCCAGTGCCAAGAACTGCGTCAGCACCTGCATTAGGGCGTGCAGGGGTGGGGGGAATGGAGGGGAGGGCCGGAGGTGGGGAGGGGGGAAAGGGTGAGGGGTGATGGGAGGGGGGGCGAGAGGGATAATGCACAGCTAGCCGGGGGCACGGCGCCTTAGCAAAGGAAGCAAGAGAAGCGAGAGGGAGCTGAATTCACCTTGCCGTCGATGCGCACGAGGATGTCGTCGGGCTCCCGCCTTCTCTCCAGTCTACCAAAGGCAACCCATCCTGGCCGCGAGCTCCACCTGCGACTCTCTCTCCCCTTGCTGCTACCACCCACTCACCTTGCCGTTGACGCGCACGAGAATGTCCCCCGGCTCCAGCCTGCCTTCAGCGGGGCCGCCCGGCACGAGCGAGTCCACCACCAGCAGCCCCGTCTCCGCCGCCCCCGCCTCGCGCCTGACCTCCGCTTCCGTCTCTCGCCTTAGCCCCAGCCGCCGCGTCTCGTCAAACCCCTTGTGGATCAACGTCACCTGGTGTCGTGGTGGGAAAAGGGTTTAGGGAGGGGAGGGGAGGGCAGGAGGGCAGAGCGCGCAGGGGAGAGGGGAAAGGGAGTCGGAGGTGGAGCGAGGGGCCACGGTTGGGGAGGAGCAGGAAGTGCTACATTCAAGTGTAAGAAATGTTCCAGTGCTGTTAAGACCTCTCTGAACAAGCCCCAAACACAACGCAGCAGCAAGACCCGATCCCTCCCCCCCCTTCTCCATGTCCATGGCCCCTGAACCATCCTTCCCCCCCTGCTGCGCGCCCACCCACCTGCAGGGTGCCGCGGGTGACGACGGGCGGGCGCCACTTGTGCACGACGAACCCGCCGCCCTCCTTCTCCGCGAAGCACGCCTGGATGGCGCCCAGCGCGCGCACCACGCGGTCCAGCGGAAGGAAGAACGCGCTCGCGCTCGACGACTTGCTGCCCGCGTTCAGCGCCACGGCGCACCCGCGCGAGTCGATCACGGGAGATCCGCTCGAACCGCCCTTGGTCCCCGACGCGGCTTGCAAATAAAACGTATTAAAATCATTATACCCGTCCTTTTTGTACACGGGCGCGTCGCGATCCAGCCGCGCGATGGTCCCGGCGAGAATAGAGACCTTCTCGCCGCTGTCGTTGCCCACGACGCGGATCTCGAGGCCCACGGCGGCGGCCTCGGGCGCGAGCGGGATGTCTTGGTAGTCGAGGAACTGCACGGCGGCGGGGTCAAAGTGAAAGAACCCGAAGTCGTGCACGGGGTCGCGGTAGATCGGATGCACGGGCACCTCCTCGCGGTTCAGAAACATCGCCTCCGCCACCACCGGGCCTGGCGGACGCGCGCGGGGGGGGGGGGGAATGCGCGGAAGAGCGGGGGGATGCGTGCGGGAAGGCGGAACGGGCCGTTTGAGAGGCGGGACGCGCGGATCTCAAGGGAGGGGGCATGCGGGAGCGAGAGAACGACGCGGGTGGTGAGGCGACAGCTGGCAGGGAGCAGGATGCAAGGCGGAAAGGAAGGCGCGCGGACCGGGTTTGACGACATGGCGGTTGGTGAGGATGATGCCGCGGCGGCGGTCGACGATGAATCCGGTGGCGTAGCTGGAGTTGGCGGACTCGGTGTCGAACGCGCGCACCACCGTCACGCGCAGCACCACCACCGCCGGCACCACCCGCGCCAACGCGCGCCGCCAGTCGTCCGACGACGCTGCGGGGAGGAGCGGGGATGGTAGGCGTGGGAGTAAGGGGGTTAGTTGGCGAATGAGGCACCGTGTAATGAAATTGGCGGAGAATTCGGCGGTAGAAACGACTCATTAAACTAGCGACGGTGTGGGGAAATGCCGTAATCAGGCCAGCAGTGCTCAGTTCCGCGGACACGCTAAGAGAGAGGTCGAATCTACGAAATAATGCGTTGAGAGATATCGAGATAACAGAGAGATCTTGCTTACAGCGAGATCGCGCTAACAGCTAGATCGCGCAAACGGGGAAAGCGCGTCGTCGCGAATTCCAAGAGAGATACCTGAATGTCCTTCCACGACGGGGTCGATCTCCATCCTAACCGCGCTACGCTGCTAGTCGGTGAAACGATGAATAGGTCTCTATCGCGCGATCTGCGAGCATGTGCAGAAAAACGAAACACGCTTTAATGCCAAACGGTGGTCGCAGGTGCTGTCGCGAGGAGATGGCGTGGCGATCACCAGAAGCAGTTCCGAAAATAGATGATCGCTTCTTGACTGGCGAAGTGAAGCTGATGCACAAGTCTGGGCAAGGCGTGGAGTGAAGTGGAATCTAGGTGGGCAATGGGCATTGTGGCGAGAATAGGGTGGAGTGCAGAATCGAAGTTTCCAAGGTGGCATTCGCGCGGATGGTCACACAACAAAGAGAACCTCGATAAAACAGTACAGTTCAGCGGCAGTGTGAATGATGAATACTATATTATCTGTAACCCTTTTCTTACCAGTACTTCTTCAGATCAGAATGCTTTTGCAAGCCGAGCTTGCCACCTTCCATCAAGAAATGGAAATCAGTTCTAATACTTGCCGCGCGGCGACCTAGACTCTTCTGCCCCCCCAGTAAAGCCGCCCAATGACTTACTGTAATGCTGCTCGATGAGGCAAGGGGTGAGGATGCTCACTCGCGCAGCACCTCCTCTCGAGACAGTACCATCCCTTGGCAAGAATGCTGCTGTGTCCTTGGGCCTCGGCGCAGGAGAAAGAACCACAGCACAGAAAAGAGCAGAGAGGAGAGTGCATCAGGAGCAGCGGTGGAAATTGACTTGGATTAAACAGAAATTGATTCTAAAACTTGCTGTACGGCGACCTGACACTTCTGCCCCCCCAATAGACCTGCCCAGCGACTTACTGTACTGCTGTGGCAAGGCATGTGGTGAGGATGCTCACTCGCACAGCACCTCACTGAGAAGCACCATTTCTTGGCATGACTGCTGCTGTGCCCTTGGTCCTCAGTGCAGCAGGCATCACCACCACAGCAGCAAAGACAACACAGAAACGAGCGCAGAGGAGAGAAACGAGCATCAGAAGCAGCAGAGGAAACAGACTCGAAAGAAGCAAAAAACAATTCTAAGACTTGCCGGGCGACGACCTAGACTCTTCTGCCCCACCCAATAGACCTGCCAAACGACTTACCATACTGCCATGGTGAGCCATGCTCCGAGCCATGTGGTGAGATCCTCACTCGCACAGCAGCACCACACCTTGGCACGAATGTTGTTGTGCCGTTGGGCCTCAGTGCAGGAGGCACGACAGCAGCGAAGACAGCACAGAGACGAGCACAGAGGAGAGTGCGTCAGAGGCAGCAGAAGAAATGGACTCCAAAGAAGCAGACATTCATTCTAAGACTTGCCGCGCGGCAACCTAGACACTTCTTTCCCCCCAATAGCCCAGCCCAGTGACTTACCGTACTGTCGTGGCGAGCCATGTGGTGAGGATGCTAACTCGCAGATCACCTTTCTTAGAAGCAGTGTCCCTTGGCATGACTGTTGCTATGCCCTTGGTCCTCAGAGCAGGAGGCACCGGCACCACAGCAGCGGACACAGCACAGAAACGAGGAGTGAAACGAGCATCAGAAGTAGCAGCGGAAACAGACTCGAAAGAAACAAAAAACAAGTCTAAGACTTGCCGCGCGGCAGCCTAGAAACTTCCGTCCCCCCAATAAACCCGTCCAACGACTCACCGTACTGCCATGCTGATCCATGAAATGAGTGAGAAGCACCACTCCGTGGCACGACTGTTGTTGTGCCCTTGGGCCTCAGTGCAGGAGGAACCAGCATCACGGCAGCAGACACAGCACAGAATCAAGCACAGAGGAGAGAAAGGAGAATTAGAAGCAACAGCAGAAACAGACTCGAAAGGAACAGTAATCGACTCTAAGACTTGCCGCACGGCGACCTAGACTCTTCTGTCCCCCCCCCAGTAGACCCGCCCAATGACGTACCATACTGCCACGGCGAGCCATTTTCCGAGTTTCTTGTGAGGGTCCTCCCAAGCACAGCACCCTTTTGAGAAGCACCACCCCTTGGCATGGCTGTTGCAGTGTCCTTGGGTCTCAATGCAGGAGGCACACACCGGCACCACAGCAGGGAACAGAGCATAGAAACGAGCGCAGATGGGAGTGCGTGAGAAGCAGCAGTGGAAATGGATTCGAAAGAAACAACAATCAGTTCTAAGACTTGCCGCACGGGGACCTAGACTCTCGTGCCCCCCCAGTAGACTCGCCCAACGACTTACCTTAATAGCAACACCACCAGCACCAGCAGCACCTCCCTAGGACGCACCACCCATGGGCAAGCCTGTTACCAAGTCAATGCCTCTCCATGATGGAGAGCACTGCACGGGAACGAGCACAAAGGAGGAGAGTGTGTGTGAGAAGCAGCAGTGGAAAAATACTCGGAAAGAACTGTATTCAGTGTTGCGACTTGCCGCACGACGACCTAGAGAGCTATGCTCTCTCCCGATAGTCTCCGCCAATTCACTCACCATGCTTGCTGCCATGGTGAGGCAGAGTCCGAGACGCCTCATCAGGCGGATGTTTGTTGGCAGAGCGCCTATCCGCTACGCCTTGGTTGGACTGCCATGCCTTGGCTGGACGCGGCGCCTTGGCAAGATGCGACGCATAGCCACGCCTAGGCAGAACTGTTGGCGCGTCCTTGCGCCTCCCAGTTAAGAACCACAACAGTAAACACAACACATGAACAAGCACACAAGAGATTGTATCAGAATAAGGATAGGGACCGGACTTAAAAGAAATTAAATACTGATTCTAAGACTTGCCGCACGTCGACCTAGACAGTTGTGCTCCCCCTCGATCGACTCGGCCAATTTACTCAACGTGCTGCCTTTGTGACGCAAATTCCGAGACGCATCAGCAGTCGATTTGTTACTGGCAGAGCCCTCCCTGGGATGCAATGCACCACCACGCCATGGTAGGACCGTTGACACTCGTCCTTGGACCTCTCAGTCAAGGAGGGCCCCCAACACAACAACCAACACAACACAGGAACAAGCACACAAGAAAGTATATTAGAATAGGAAGAAAAACCGGACTCAGAGAAACTAATATTCGATTCTAAGACTTGCCGCACGGCGACCTAGACAGCTAAGCACCCCCTCAATAGTCTCGCCCAATTCACTCACCGTGCTGTCATGGTGAGACAAATTCCGAGATGCGTCAAAATTTGGATGGTTACAAGCATAGACCCTCCCTGGAAGTCGACCGCCACGCCTTGGCCAGACTGTTGACGCGTCTTTGGGCCTTTCAGTCAAGAAGGCACCCCAACCACAGGAGCCAACACAGCACATGAACGAACAAGCACACAAAAGAGTGTCATAGAATCAGGAGAGAAACCAGACTCAAAAAGACCGAAATTTGATTCAAAGACATGCCGGACGCCGACCTAGACAGCTAAGCTCCCCCTGGATGGACTTGCCCTATTCACTCACCGTGCTGCCACGGTGAGGCACATTTCGAGACGCATCAGCAGTCGATTGGATACTAGCAGAGCCCGCTCTCCACCATGGCAGGACTGTTGACGCGTCCATCAGGCAAGAAGTCCCCTCAACAACACCAGCAAACACAGAAGAGTAACAAGCACACAATAAAGTGTATGAGAATCAAGTTATGCAGCGGACTAAAAAAACATTAAAATCTTATTCTAAGACTTACTGCACAACGACCTAACTTGCTATTTTACACACACTAGGCCCTTATTCTTGCTATTTTGCACAAGACAGGCACCTGTTCATGCAATTTTGCACACGCTAGGCCCTTGTTCTTGCAATTTTGCACTCGCTAGGCCCTTGTTCTTGCAATTTTGCACTCGCTAGGCCCTTGTTTTTGAAATTTTGCACACGCTAGGCCCTTGTTCTTGCAATTTTGCACACGCTAGGCCCTTGTTCTTGCTATTTTCCACACGCTAGGCCCTTGTTCTTGCTATTTTGCACACGCTAAGACCTTGTTCTTGCAATTTTGCACACGCTTGGCCCTTGATCTTGCTATTTTGCACACGCTAGACCCTTGTTCCTGAAATTTTGCACACGCTAGGCCCTTGTTCTTGAAATTTTGCATACGCTAGGCCTGTGTTCTTGAACTTTTGCACACGCTAGGCCCTTGTTCTTGAATTTTTGCACACGCTAGGCCCTTGTTCTTGCAATTTCGCACACGCTAGGCCCTTGTTCTTGATATTTTTCACACGCTAAGGTCTTTTGCTTGCGATTTTGCACACGCTAGGCCCTTGTTTTTGCAAATTTGCACTCGCTAGGCCCTTGTTCTTGGTGTTTTGCATACCGTAGGCCCTTTTTCTTGCAATTTTGCACATTCTAGGCCCTTGTTCTTGCAATTTTGCACTCGCTAGGCCCTTGTTTTTGCTATTTTGCATACGCTAGGCCCTTGTTCTTGCAATTTTGCACACGCTAGGCCCTTGTTCTTGCAATTTTGCACACGCTAGGCCCTTGTTCTTGCAATTTTGTACTCGCTAGGCCCTTGTTCTTGCAATTTTGCACATGCTAAGGTTTTGTTCTTGTGATTTTGCACACGCTAGGCCCTATTTTTTGCAATTTTACACTCGCTAGGCCCTTGTTCTTGCAATTTTGCACTCGCTAGGCCCTTGTTCTTGCTATTTTGCACATGCTATGCCCTTGTTCTTGCAATTCTGCACACGCTAGGCCTTTGTTTTTGCTATTTTGCACACGCTAATCCCTTGTTCTTGCAGCTTTGCACACGCTAGGCCCTTGTTCCTGCAAGTCTGCAAACGCTAGGTCCTTGTTCTTGCAATTTTGCACTCGCTTGGCCCTTGTTCTTGCTATTTTGCACACACTAGGCCAGTTTTCTTCCAATTTTGCACACGCTAGGCCCTTGTTCTTGCAATTTTAAACACGCCTGGCCTTTGTTCTTGCAATTTTGCACACACTAGGCCCTTGTTCTTGCAATTTTGCACACGCTAGGCCCTTATTCTTGCAATTTTGCACTCGCTAGGCCCTTGTTCCTGCTATTGTGCACACGCTAGGCCCTTGTTCTTGCAATTTTGCACACGCTAGGC